AAACAGGAATTTATAAATTAAGTCATATTACTTTATTTATACTGTACACTGACTTGTTTACTAACTAAAGAAAAACTTCAATTGGTTTCACAAATTAATTTAGTTTGTTAAATTAACACAATTGCTAACTTAAATCTAAAGTTTGTTTCAGAATTTTCTTAAGTTGTTCCAACAATTTTAGCCACATAAAAGTGTCTTGTTACTTTCTAACTCTGGTTTATCGGCATCCCGGCCCCTTCACTGCTCAGATTTTCCATTTCATTTTGTATTAGTAGTAATTAGTGTTGCAGTAATTAGTGTGTCTTTGCATGAGTACTCTATTGTTTGAGTGAGGCAGAGCATCAAAGACAGCATAGTAACTGTCCCCAAAACGTTACTATCCGTGTATTCCTCTCTGTCTGCTCCCAGAGTTTGAACTTCAGCCCTGTCTCTTGGTGTTTTTATCCAGGTGAGGTGTCGGGGGTGAACGTGACCAGTCAAAGCCAGGTGGTGAGGGGCACTGTGGGCAAAGAGGCCCTGTTGTCCGTCAGCTACTCCAGCAGCAGCTCCGACAAGCCCGTGATTAAGTGGCAGCTGAAGAGGAGCAAAGAAAAACCCATCACCGTCGTGCAGTCCATAGGAACGGACGTTATCGGGAACCTGAGGCCTGAGTACCGCAACCGTGTCCTGGTGTTCGAGAATGGGTCACTTCTGCTTCACAACCTGCAGCTCTCAGACGAAGGGGCATACGAGGTGGAGATCTCCATCACAGACGACAGCTTCACTGGGGAGCACTACACCGAGCTCACTGTGGATGGTATGCAAAGTTACCATCCTCTTCATTTCTCTTTACTTCAAACCACCAGCCACAAACTGAGGAGCAGTTTTGAGCTAAAGCAAAATCAATATTTGTTAAAAATAAAGTTTGTTGCCCAAGTTATTATCACCAAGTTTAACATGTTCAGTGCACGATACAGTGATTCACCGTGTTGGTGGTTTGCTCTTTGAAGCATCAACTGTGGTTCCACTTTTCAGTTGTTCTTATACACACTGGAAAAAGAAAATTGTTCAGCAGCTTAACAAATACTTCAGTTGGTAACACACAAAGCAATTAAGTTTGTTCAACTTAAAGATAACAAATTAGATTAACACAATTGGGTTATTAAGTAACTTTAATATGCAAAAACTGATTTAAGCTCGTGTTGCCAATTGCAGTTAATTTAAGTTGTTCCAACAACACATCTTGTCTCTTTGGCCTTCTTTTTTAGTTGAGAACGTTTTTATCCCAGCAGATTTTATTTTATT